ATCACTGCTACAGGTTAATCACTAAAATAATAATAAATGGATGTATATTAAATTGAATAGAGTAGAAAATAAGATAATGAAAGTGTTTGATTAATGTAAAAAGCATGAAAAGAGAAATAATGGAAGAAACCAGTAAAATCACTAGGAAAAGAATAACAAAATGGCATACTTAAACCTAACTAGATTAGTAATTATATTAAAAGTAAATGGGACCAGGCATGGTGGCTCACGCCTATAATCCCAGCACTTTGGGAGGCCGAGGTGGGTGGATCACTTGAGGTCAGAAGTTCAAGACCAGCCCAGCCAATATGATGAAACTCCATCTCTACTAAAAATACAAAAACTAGTCAGGCATGGTGGGAGTGCCTGTAATCCCAGCTATTTGGGAGGCTGAGGCAGGAAAATGACTAAGTTTGCTCTGAGCCAAAATTGTGCCATTGCACTCCAGCCTGGGCAAGAAGAGCGAAAACTTCATCTCAAAAAAAAAAGAAAAGAAAAATAAATTGATTAAACACTCCACGTAAAATATAAAGATTGTCACACTAGATTAAAAATAAGATTCAAGGCCGGGCGCGGTGGCTCAAGCCTGTAATCCCAGCACTTTGGGAGGCCGAGGCGGGTGGATCACAAGGTCAAGAGATCGAGACCATCCTGGTCAACAAGGTGAAACCCCGTCTCTACTAAAAATACAAAAAATTAGCTGGGCATGGTGGCGCGTGCCTGTAATCCCAGCTACTCAGGAGGCTGAGGCAGGAGAATTGCCTGAACCCAGGAGACGGAGGTTGCGGTGAGCCGAGATCGCGCCATTGCACTCCAGCCTGGGTAACAAGAGCGAAACTCCATCTCAAAAAAAAAAATAAATAAATAAATAAAAAATAAAAAATAAAAAAAAAATAAAAATTAAGATTCAAGGCCGGGCGCAGTGGCTCACACCTGTAATCCCAGCATTTTGGGAGACTGAGGTGGGTGGATAACCTGAGGTCACCAGTTCGAGACCTGCCTGGCCCACATGGTGAAACCCGTATCTACTTAAAAAATACAAAAATTAGCCAAGTGTGGTGGCAGGTACCTGTAATCCCAGCTACTTGGGAGGCTGAGGCAGAAGAATCACTTGAACCTGGGAGGCAAAGGTTGCAGGTGAGCCAAGATCGTGCCATTGTACTCCAGCCTGGGCAACAAGAGCAAAAACTCCATCTCATAAATAAATAAAAATAAGATTTAAATATACACTGCTTTCAAAAGATGCACATGAAATATAAGGACTTAATAGAAAAAAGATATACTATGCGTGTTATTTTTCTGCTGCTTTGCAACACAGTACCTCAAACAACAACCATTTGTTGGCCTGCAGTTCTGTAGGTCAGAAGTCTAAGTATGGGGGGCCAGATTCTCTCCTTGGGTCTCAAAGGTTGAAATCAAGGGGTCAACTGGGATGAGTACTGAAATATCCACATCCAAGCTCATTCAAACTTTGTAAGCACACCTGTTTCTTGCAGTGGCAGGACTGAGGTCCTCATTTCCTTTCTGTCAGCTACAAACTGCTCTCAGTTCCCAAAGGATGTCCATATTCCTTGATACATATTCCCTCTATCTTCAAAGCCAGCAATGGTGAATGTCTCTCACGTTGAACCCCTTCCACTCACGTGTTAAATATCTTTCACCAGGAAAGCCCCATTCTTTTTAAGGGTTCACTTGGCTCGGTCACACTCACTGATGGGCATTCTCCCTTAGTGTCAATTGATTTGGGAACTTAATTAAATCTATAAAGCACCTAGCTTAGTGTTTGACTGAATAACTAGAAACTGCCTGTACTCTAGGGGCTGGGAATCTGGAGACCATTTTAGAATTCTGCCTATCATACCATGCAAACACCAGAATTGTTTTGATCCTATTAACATCAGAAAAAATAGAATTTATAGTAAAACATTATTACAGATAAACATATTTAATATTGACAAAAGGGCCAATTCAACAGGAATGTATAAAAATACTAAATTTGCATATACCAAATAATATGGTTTCAAAATATATAAAATAATCCCTGATAGAAAGAAGAAAAAAGGTAACTCAAAAATCATAGTTGGATTATTGAAGACACAATTCTTCGTGGTTGATAGGATAAATAGAAGAGTAAATCACTAGAGCCAGGTGTGGTGACTCACAACTGTAATCTCAACACTTTGGGAGGCCAAGGCAGGTGGATCACCTGAGGTCAGGGGTTCGAGACCAGCCTGGCCATCATGGTGAAACTTTGTCTCTACTAAAACTACAAAAATTAGCTGGGTGTGGTGGTGGACAGTTGCAATCCCAGCTACTCAGGAGGCTCAGGTAAGAGAATCGCTTGAACCTGGGAGGCAGAGGTTGCAGTGAACCGAGATTGCACCATTGCACTCCAGCCTGTGTGACAAGAGCGAAACTCCATCTCAAAGAAAAAAAATCACTAGGAATGTGGAAGATACGAAGAAAATTATTAACCAACTTGATCTAATTAGTATTTACAGAACATTAACATCTAAGTGCAGAATTTT